CTCCTTTTATGTGAACATGTCATCACAGTCTTCTTTTTTTTTTAATTTTATTTTGGTTAACGCTATAATTGGCATTTTTATTTACTTATTTTGTGATGACAATTTCTGTGTCATGATGAATACATATTTTTAAAAAATAAGTATATTATTATGCTTTACTGTGTATCGAACAGTTTTCTTTAAAAAATAAATGAAAAAGAACACTAGATTATAAATCTGACTGTTATTTCTTTTTATTTTGATATATATAAAGAGAGCTGACAAGAAAAGGGGTGGATGTAGGAGGCCAATTTTTGTTTTTGCAACATTTCTCTTCATCTCTTAAATGTTGCAGTTCTTTCACAACAGTCGACATATTTATTTTTTGCAGATAAATACCATAAATAAACCTGGTCTAATATGGGAATTTGGAGGGATTATCTTCAATATCCTCTCTATCAAGTCTTAACTAGTCCCATATTGTGTTTTTAATCATTTCACCCCATGTAAGGTAGTAAAGCCGCTAAGATACAAGGAGTTACTGAGTGTGAAAGAAGATGGGTTTGTTTTGTTTTATGGGTTATTTAATGCCGACAACATTTTTATTGCTGGTAATGTTTTTCTTCAAAAATCTATTTCTAGGAATATTTTTCCTTGAAGAAATCGAAAGCTGGTCATATTTTTTTCAAAGAATGTATAACTGCATTGCTGGTATTTTATTTTTTTTTAAAAGTATTGCTGATAATTATTTTTCCTTCAAAAATTATTGCAGGTAATAATTGCTTTTATTACAAAGTATTTCTGGTATTAAAACCTATTTTTACACAAGTTTGGGTCCCAGCTATGGGCAAATAGTTAACACCCAAACAGGTACTACCACGGTCCTCAAAACCTCCTGATCAGAGGCCTTGCTGTTGGACGTAGTTTATTGTCTTACCCAGGATACTGTGAAAGAAGAAGAAGAAAAAGGAAAAACATTATTAAGGAGCGAAAACAACAAGAGAATAATCTAGGAGACTGTAGATGATGATCGACATTGAATTTAAGTTTTTGAAGATCAAAATTGGCTGGAAAGCATGGAGCTGGAAGAGAGTTCCACAAGTGAGGAAAGAAACTGTTAGCATAGAACTTTTGGTTACATTTAGCCAATTCAACTGTAAACTGACAAGACATTGTTGCCAATTTCATACTACACTTTAATTCATAAAGTCTAGATACCATAGCAACGAGTTCATCTGAACAATTACAATGAATAGGCACAGAGAAGCAACATTACAGTGGTCGGAAAATGACTGAAGCTGAGATGCCAGGTCAGGACCAATAACATTGAAGAGAGAACATTGAAAAATCTGCAATCTAGTTAGTCTTAACCATGGACTCATTCAAACATCTCAGTTACAATGCAGACCCCATAATATGACAATTTCCTTATCAAGTCTTAATTAGTTCCATATATTTTTTTTTTTTTTAATCATTTCACCCCATGCAAGGCAGTAAAGCCACTAAGATACAAAGGGTTACTGAGTGTTAAAAGAAGAAGAATAAAAGAGAAACATTAAGGAACAAGAACAACAGAAGAACAATCAAGGAGACTGTAGATAACAACTGACATTGTACATGTTTTTACAACTTTTACCAAATAACCCCTGAGAAAGGCATGAAATCAAATCTCCCTGATCCATGTTCTGTAATACTAATAACGCTTTCTTGATAATCACTATGAATCTAAATATGTTAGGTACATAGTGATTAAATTGTTTGCTTTCAACCACAGAGAAAATGTATTATTGGTCATATAAATAGGTATTGTTGCCAATTTTTATATATAAAAATCTATATTATTTACATTATTCAGACTATTGTCCTCATCTTTGTCGCCATGTTTATTACAACATTTCGGCCGTTGTACGCTCTGGCCTTCTTCAGGTGGTTGGAATATCTGTATTTTGCTCACTGGGATAGGCTGTTCTAGTTCCACGTTTAATGGATGTCAGTTATCAGCTATCTCCTGTTAATTCCCCTTTCCAAGTTCTCCACTCCCTTAACTGGATATTGAACTCACACTCTTTGGGTCCTGTCACTGGATCTAACCAATGCCTTTATCCACTGTGCCATGTGTCCTTGAGAACATCTGTGTATGAATTTCTGGTATTTTTATACTTTCAGAGTGTTTTGTTTTTGTTTGCATGTTCAATATTTTCCCATAGCTGGGACCCTAACAGGTGCTACCACTCTGGATCAGGGTGAACCTGGGAACAACCACAATTAAGAAGTGGTTCCATGCAACTCAAAAGCTCCAATCTTCCAGTTAGAGGCCTTGCTGCCAGATGTAATTTATCGTCATACCCAGGACTGTCATTGCTTTTTCTAAAAGCCTTACTTGAGCAGCACTGGCTGCTTGGTGAATGAATGCAGAATGTTTCCTTATAAGGAAAAGGCTAATATAACCATTATCTTTAGAGATCCCAACCCAATGGTCAGGAAGTGTAGAAAAGCCTTACTTGAGTAGCACTGGCTGCTCAGTTAATAAATGCTGAATGTCTCCTTATAGGGAAAAGGCTAATATTACCATTACCTTCTTCATGGTTTAGAATTCAAAGGATGCCTTCTCTAGACTGACTGCCATATAACTATTTCTAGTTTCAACTTTGTCAAGCTCTCCTCTCTATTGAAGAAAGCAGCTGCCAAAGAAATATGAGACTTGTCTGCTTCGGTAAACCGAAAACTATTATCCAGATAAAGCCTAAAACAAAAATGACAATACTGAAAAAAGAAAAGGAGAAAAGGCCTAAAGGCAAACCTACCTACTCAGTAAGGTGCTCGAAGCCTAGATTGCCTAGACCAAGAAAAGACATTCAAATTGTCTGGAGATAGCATAAGCATAAAACTCAGGTTAAGACTAGATCCATTCTTTCATAGAATTTAATTTTTTTTTATACACAAGCACACACACTATTGGCCAAAAGGTTTGGAGCCATCTTTGGGATTTCAAAGGATCACCTAAAAATTGAAGATTGCATGCCCTTTTCAAAACAAAGGAAGCCTCTGTCAACCGTAGAAAGAGCAATAACATCTATTGGACTTGAGTAACGTATTTTCCTGAAAAATTGTTTTAAGAGAAAGATTTTATAAATTTCACCCAACAACAGTCAATGAATGTCAAATGTTTCCTTATAAGGAAATGACTAATATTACAATTAAAATTATAGAGGAGGAGAACAGATACTACACTTAGATCTTAACCAGAATGCCAGGGAGTTAAGAAAAGCCACACATCCACAGAGATTGGTTACAGTGAATTTCTGAGCGTAGCTTAAATGTGACACAAGGCCGAAAGTATGGGACACCCAGTGAGGATTGAACTCATTACTCAGCCGTAATTGTTCTAACAAGACAAGCTTGCTAACCATTACACCATGTCAACATTCCCCACAGAGATTGATTAAGTCTGAAGTTGAATATAGTACAAGTTGTCCAAAAAGTTTTTAGACAATTTCAAAAAGTCATTATGAAAAACTTAGAAGAGGTAGCCACACCCATGAGTTTTCTCTTGTGAGGGCTGTACGAATAATATTGTGTACCACACTGACTCTGATGACCATAAGCTAAGAATAACTACTGCCATTGCGATTATTGTTGAAGGTATGTTAAGACGGACATGAACAGAACTTTCATAGTAATTGTTCCAATGGACTTTCCTCGATGGTACCTAGAAGTCATGAATTTAACTGCTTGGCAACAAGTTCTCATCATTTTACAATTGAAATGACTAGATGAAACTGTAAGTTCTATGCTGACAGTTTCTTCTCTCACATTTCTTGCTTGTGGAACTCTTCCGACTTCTTGCTTCCAAATAAACTTTGATCTTTAAAAGTTTAAAAGCAATAATTTCCAATGCATTTTCATAATAAAAAACATAGGCAAATGAATTTTCATGGTAAAAATCATTTCCATGGTAATTGTTCTAATGAACTTTGGTATCTAGACTATAAATTTAAGCGCACGGAAAGCCGAGTTTGAATTCAAGTCGAATCCATTACATTCACTTACGTGCTGATACCATTGGGAAAGGTATGAATCCTCTTCTTCTTTGCCCAACTATGGGTAAATAGCAGGACAGACAGTTCTATAGCCTTGGATGGCAACTGTTCTACCAGAGAAAAAAATGGCAACTTACTGCTGGAAAAAATCTGCCTTGTCAGTCATGTATTGAAAGATACATGATTGCCTAAGCATGTATCACGCATAACACTGACTAGATTGGCAGATAGATCTCACCATTTTACAGCTGAAATGCCTAGATGTAACTACAAGTCCTATGCTAACAGTTTCTTTTCTCACACTTCTAACTGGTGGAACTCTCTTCCAGCTTCTTGCTTTCCAGCTAAGTTTGATCTTGAAAAATTTAAATGCAATGTCAACTGTTAGCTAGTGTCTTCTTCATTACTCTTCTATTGTTCTTGCTTCTTAATAGTATTTCTCCTTTTTCTTCTTTCATACTCAGTAACCCTTTGTGTCTTAGTGGCTTTACTGCCTTCTCTGTATAATATTCTATATAAGAGATTAAGTTTATGTTCTCATTAAAATTTACAACAGCAAAATTACAAGTTTTATATTATACTCTAATTATTCACATATAATATTTTTCTTAGATTTTTAATCTAGAAAAAAAAATTTATTAACACACAAGAACATGGAGATTTTGTTCATGAGGATGTAACCAAATTTAGGTAATATATATTTTTCAAACTAATGGGGAGCAAGAAATTTCAATCTCTAACCAAACACTGAGTATTTCTTAAAAAAAGAAGAAATTTATTCAAGTATACGCAGGTCTATATACCATTACCAATAACACCCCCCCCAAAAAAAATTATCCCACTGATGTAAAAAACATCTATCTCTGGCAAATTTATATTAAAGCCTTTTTTGCATAAATTAATATTTAAATGCTAATAAAAATTTTTAAAAAATGATGTGTTGGAAGCCAATAGAATCGCTTTAAATAGTTTGGGGAGAACCTATAACTTGGGAAAAGAAGGTATACACTTGTAGCCCCAGATGTACAGACGTTTCAAAGTCGATTGTAACAACGTGTGCTTCACAGGTGTTGGTGCTGCTAGGCCAACAGAGAGGCGTATGTGAGTGACCACTCCTCCATGTCTGGGTGGAGTGATTTCAAAATATGACTGCGTACACGGGAGCAAACCAGTTAGCGGTAACAAGGTGTACCAAGGGTAGGTGTTTGCTTCTTCTTCAAACCCATTATCATCCATATTTGGCTTGGGGTTCACCGAACAGGCTGGAAAAGAAAGGAAATATTTAAACGCTGGTAGATTCTCGTGACAAAAAGTAAAATTTTTTTTCACAAAAGATAAATTTGAAGACTTTAATATTTAGGGCATAATTAGGTAAGAATAAGGGGGAGAGGGATTAAATCTCCTCAGAAAATAATACATTTGATGCATGTTGCAATTAAAAGCAACTGAAATTTAAATAACTTAAGACTATTACTACTTGGTGGAAAAGCAAGAGAAATAAGATGAAAGAAATACTAGTGAAAAATGAATAATAATTGTCAAGGCTTCATCTAAGAAATTCAGACAACTTAAGACTATTACTACTTGGTGGAAAAGCAAGAGAAATAAGATGAAAGAAATACTAGTGAAAAATGAATAATAATTGTCAAGGCTTCATCTAAGAAATTCAGACAACTTAAGACTATTACTACTTGGTGGAAAAGCAAGAGAAATAAGATGAAAGAAATACTAGTGAAAAATGAATAATAATTGTCAAGGCTTCATCTAAGAAATTCAGACAACTTAAGACTATTACTACTTGGTGGAAAAGCAAGAGAAATAAGATGAAAGAAATGCAAGTGAAAAATGAATAATAATTGCCAAGGCTTCATCTAAGAAATTCAGACAACTTAAGACTATTACTACTTGGTGGAAAAGCAAGAGAAATAAGATGGAAGAAATACGAGTCAAAAATTACAAGTAATTTTGTTTATACACTTGTATATATGGGCTCTAAAAGATATTCTGTTTGGTTGATTTTATTTTACAAGTATGTGACTACAATTGCTTGATGTAAACAGTAGTTGACTACTTCAGATTTTGTAGGGATGTGTGCTACTATTTCACCGCAAAAAGAAATTTTGATAAATTTGGAGGTCCAGATAAAATAGTGACGATTGACGAAACATTGATTTTAGGGCCCCCGTTTTTCCATTTCAAATTTTCCTTGATTCTGTTTCCACTTTTGGTAAATTCCTTTTTTTGCTGTTTTTACTTTTGGGAAATTTCATTTTTTCCATTTTTATAGTATTGTATGAGAAATAAGGTATTATGCTATAATTATCATTAAAACTGAAAACAAAGACATTATTTAAATTTTTATTGCATATAAAGTAATAGGAAATATCTAAAAATCTTTTTTTAAATGTTAAAATCCAAGTCCAAAAATAAATTATATGTAAAAATAAAAAAAATGTAACATGACTAGACAATAAAACAATGTTACAGTGTATAATTATCTTTGAGGGAGAACTTTTAATCAGAGCTTCCTTCTTTAAGAACATGTTCAAAACAAATTCAAATTGTTTTTGTTTTCTTAAGTAAAAGGATTTAGATTGATTTATAATTATTAATTCATAATATAAAAATCACAATTAAAATATCAACAGCAAATAACTTGAATCTCAATAATAAATATCTGAATAAAATCAAACATTTTGACAAGTTTTACAAAACAGTAATTAATCATAATAATCTTTGTAACAAAAATATCGAAAAACAAATTAGTAGAACTATTAATTAAAAATTTAAATAAAACAACTTATCCCAAGTTGAAATACTGTTCAAATTTCTTCTAATCTCTTCTCTAAGTCTCCATTGTAATACAAACTTGTGAGTTGCTTGGTGTTCTCAGGAGTAAGACTTTCACGTTGTTTATTGAGTAAATGTTTATAGTGAGAAAATGAACATTCAATATCTATGCTAGTAACAGGAATCTATATGACCATATTGGCAATCTGTTCCAGAAGAGGAAATCTGCTCTTATTTGCATTCCAAAATGGTAAATTTGCAGATTAAGCCCCGGAAACCAATTGTAATGAAAATCTCCATTCTGGTGTGGAATTTCCTGATTAATTCCAAAATAACAATAAAAATTTGCAAAAGAAAATTGTTTCTGAATTATCAACAATATAAGTTCGGCCCTATTTGCATCTAGCCCAGTTGTCATTATTGGTAATGTTTATATACATTTGCCTCAAGTAGTAAAATGTGTGGAAGCTTACTTACTTAACAGCCTTTTTACTGATCTTCTTATTTTCTTACTCGTCTGGATTATTGCGCAATTCACAAAATTTACAGTTTGTGCACTGCGCAATAATCAAGACAAGTGAGGCTTCCACGCATTACTACTCAAGGCAAACATGTGTAAACAAAGTCTGTAATGATGGCTGAGTTGTAACAGCAATTCAAATGAGGCCAAACTTATAATGTCGATAATGATTAAACAGTTTTCTTCCACAAACTTTTGTTGTTATTTTTGAAATAAGCATCCAAATTTACACCAGAATGGAAATTTTCGTTACAATTGGTTTCCAGGGTTTAATCTGCAAATTTACCTCCAAAATTTAAATTTCTTTTACAATGAAGATGATGCAATTATTAATCCAGAAGAATTGCTGTGTGACTTTGAAGTTGACAAGTCAGTCGAGCTTAGAATGGTGTTTTTGGAAAATAAAAGATTTTCTTTATTTCTAAATAGTATGGTAGGCAAGTGATAGAATTTACTTTTCTTTCTTATTCAAGGTTACAAGTTATTTAGAATAGAATCTTTTACTTGTAAATTGTGTGAGGCCTTATCTTTGTCTTTCTCCCCTTCCAAATTTTGATATTAGCTAGTGTCTATCTTCCCCATTTCCACTTGCTTTGGGACTTGCTTTCCAGCTTAGGCTTGATCAAGCTCAAGACGTCGAACTCTCTGCTTTTAGGCAGAGAGGAACCCAGACAAGACTATGCTGAAGGGCAGAGTATTGTCTGGGGAGGTAGACAAACCAGACCCCATGTATGTGAAGTCTACAGGGAATTTTTGCCTGAGCCTATGGGTTTGGATCGCCCCACATAAAACTTGTCTTTGTGCCACATCCTGCCTTGTAGAGAGGTCAGATAAATACCCACTTTAGCAATGGATCTTGGTGACCACGACCAAGCTGTGACCCTCCAACTTTCATCTTGTTTGCTACATAGTTTCTTAGAAAAGTTTGGAAATATTTAAAAATAGACTAACCAACATATTCTCAGAAAATCGACAAACCTGTTTTCTTTTTTTTGGTTAATTTGCAGTATAAGCACAAAAATCCGATGGTAATGAAAATGTTCCATTATGGTGTGAAATTGCCTGATTATTTCTGAAGAATTTAATTATTTTGTAGAATTTGTTCCTGATAGATCAAGAAGAGTCATCCAAAGACATATTGAACAAGGTTCCACGATCATTAGCAATGGTTGGTTTGCTTATCACGATCTAATGATCTGGGGTACAATCACAAAGTATAATTAATTCATGAAAAGAATTTTGTAGATTTCCACGAATCTTTAGTTCATATTCAAATAATAGAAAATAGCTGGGTTCATCTCTAAAGCATTTTCTCAGAGAAAAAAGGAACCAATAAATGATATATATGGATTTTAACTTCTGAATTATGGCCGCTGATTCTAGACATTTTATTATTTTTATTCTAGATTAAAAATCTAAGAAATAAAATCATATGACATGGAGTATTCTGGAATTGGGCAGGACTTTGATCACTGTTGGGCAGGGTTAGGCTTGAGACTCCAGACTTCGATCACTATTGGGTGTTCTCACCAAGATGTAAAAAGACTCTTCTTTTTACCTCTAAGGTGGGTGCTTATATATCTACCTGTCATATGATCCCCCCATACATCCTAGGCACAGCTGGTTTGATCACATTTTTATATATCAGGGAAGCCACTGATATCAAGTAAAGCACGGATCTGCACCTAGTGTCTATGTAGTCATCTTTCAGGTGTCAACCGGCTGATGCATGTGGCTTCACCAAATTTCCAGCGTAACACTGAGTGTAAAATTCATTTTGGGAACATCTGGAGTTAGTCACATATTACACACCAAATGAATTATAAATCTGAATAAGGCTGACAAACACACCAGCCAAAACAATGAAGAAAATGTTAAAAGATAAAAATAGTCATAAAAAAATTGGACTTGTTAGCCATCTCATTCCACAGACCCAACTGACTTAGGCAAACAGAACAAGACCACATTCAACCTGGAGGGAAAGCCACAAAGATAAGGAAAGGAGATTTGAAGTACATGCCTTCTGCAATATACTTACCTTCAAGTCGACAAAAGGAAAGATATTTGCAGTCAAACCTTCCAGTTTCTATTTTTATCTAGAAATAAAATTAAAAAAGCAAATAAAAATGAAAGACTTGATTCATTGATTTTTACAACATGAAAAAAAACTTTTTTTTTTTCAAAACTAAATTCATAATTCTTATAGGGTAAAAAATAATAAATTAATAGATTTTTACCTTCTTCTGTATACTTTTGATAATGGCTCTCCACGACTTCTCTTTTGTAACTCTAAGCAATGTTTGTTACAATTACTGTGCCTCCCAGTCCATATCCTGCCAACCATTTACACAAGCTCGTTACATAGGCAACTTAACATTTTCCTCTTGTTTTCACTATGTCCTGTGAGTGTCAAATTCTCTAAGCCTTCTAGTCCTGGGTATGACAATAAACTACATCTGGCAGCAAAGGCCTTTGATTGGGAGTTTTTGAGGAATATAGAATCACCTCTTAATTGCTGTTGTTCCCAGGTTCACCCTAACACAGGGTGGTAGCACCTGTCAGGGTCCCAGCTATGGACAAATAGCAAATCTCCAAACAAAAACACTATGAAAATGTTGGAATACATTTTTGTAGTAAATTATCTGTAGTTGCAGCCATACAATTCTGTTCAAAATATTTAGATTCCGGCATTAAATAACCCTAGATGCAGCTGTAAATTCTATGCTAACAGTTTCTTCTCTCACATTCCTCACTTGTGAAAATCCCTTCCGGCTCCATGCTTTCCAGCCAACCTTAATCTTCAAATATTTAAATGCAATGTCAATCGCTATCTACTGTCCTCCTGATTACTCTTTTCCCTTCCAGTGCATTATTAATGTTTCTGTTCTTAATTTTTCCACACCCAGTAAACATTTGTGACTTAGTGGCTTTACTGTCTTGTATGGGGTGAAACCGAATAAAAAAAAAAAAAAAAGATTCCCTATTTACATTGCTTGGACTATCATCCTCATCTTTGTTGCCATATTTATCAACAACATTTTGGCCATTGTACACTCTGGCCTTCTTCAGGTGGTTGGAATATCGAACTAAAACCTTTATTTCGCTCGCTGGAGTAGACTACCTTAACCAGGTATTGAACTCACAACTCTTTTTGGTCCTGTCACTGGATCTAATTAATGCCTTATTCCACTGTGCCATGTGATTAAGGCAGTGGAGAACTTGGAGAGGAGAATTCACAGGAGATAACTAATAACTGACATCCATTAGACATGGAAAGTAAAAAAAAGAGAAGGAAGAAGAAAGAGAAGAGAAAACAAAATGGAGAGAGGGGTTGGGAGAAACAGAGAAAGAGAGAGAGACAAAGAGAGACTTATTTCTCAATCTTTTGTCATAGTATTTTTGTTACTCTGCAAAAACAAAGGTAAGCGATTTTTTTTTTTAACACCCACCTCCCAGTCACATTTCAAGTCATTCAGAAATTAGCCATTGCCAGAGTATACCCTCTAATCCAACTCCCACACCACATAGTACTTCTGTAGTGCAACTTCAACATTTTAAGAGATAAGAAGATTGTGCCATAGTTTATCAAGGGGCACACCATGTCTGTAGCCTTGTACCAGACTACATAACCAGAAAATATAACTTAGAATAAAAAAAATGGCTATATGCAAATTGTAAAATGAGATATTAAAAGAGTTTCCAAGATATAAAAGACACAGATAATTTGATAAAGAATATTTAGAAAAACTTAAAAATATTCAATTAAAAACTCTTCCATATTTATTTATTATTCTTATATTTTGACATTATTTTGATTGACAATCATAATTTAATCATTTCTAATCATATATATTCAATTTTGGGGTCATCAGAGGACAAACAGGAGGTTTTTATAGATTACTAGCAGTAGAGCCCGGCGTTGCCCGGGGATGTAACAGTAAGAGATAGATCAAGTATCGACCATCACAAAGACTGAAAAATAAAATTGACAAAGATTATTGTTTAAGGTTGACGGACACGCATATCTTAATTAGTTTTTTTTTTTTTTTTTTTTTTTTTTTTTTTTTACGAATTGGTCAAACCCAAACTCAAACAAAAACATTGTTTTCAATCGTTATGAGTCTATCGATTGAATAGAATTTTATTATAAACAATTGTCTTGTAAATGGAATTTTTTAAGCATTCTGAATGTAAAAATAAAGTAAAACGTGTGCAAGACAATAAGAAACACTACCTGCCAAAAAAAAAGTTTTGTTGAAATCGGTTGAAGAATGTAGGAAATCCGATCCCATATATAAAGGAAAACACACACACACACAAACAACCTGGGTTTTATAATAAGTATAACTCGATATGAGTTGTCCCCCTTTCATTCTGGCGACAGAATCGTGTTTTATCATGATTTCAAATTGATTTCGTGCAAAAACAATTGTGTTTTTCCCATTTTTGGCGCTGTCAGAACCACCGCAGGGTAATTTTATGCAGTCCTGTGAAGTTTTGTTGAAATCGGTTGAAAAATGTAGGAAATCCGATCCAATATATAAACGTACAAACACACACACACACACACAATCACACACAATCTGTGTTTTATAATAAGTAAGATTTTGATTGGTAATTAGAATTGAATCATTTATAATCATATATAGGGTGATTGAAAAGTAACTCCCTATTTTATGAATGAGTAGACAGTCAGGAATCCTGATTTAACATCCTGTGACTTTTTTCTTTGGAATTGGTTAAAGGAGAAAGTCTACTATACCAAACCAAGACTTTGGAAGAACTTGAAGGTCGAATACAAGAAGTTATGTCTTCCATACAACAAGAGTTCCTGATGAAGATTCCTGGGCAGATCAAGAAGCTGGTAGCAAAATCTGGTGCCCATATTGAATTTTAATCAAAGCCTCATGCTAAATGCTTTCCTCTCATATCCATTTCTTGGAAAAATTATAGTTAATAAATAAGTTATAAGTATTTTAATATGGGGAGTTACATTTCAATCTGTGTGTGTGTGTATATATATATATATATATATATAATCACTTTTTCATAATACTATGAAGTACACAAGATTGTGAATATCAATATTTCTGTTTGCTTTATCTTTGTTTAATAAGGTGTTTCAGTTTTCTATGCCAATTCATTGTAATTTTATTCACTACACAAGCCTATGCATACATGCATTACACACACACACACATATATTATAGTTAATAAATAAGTTATAAGTATTTTAAAATAGGGAGTTACTTTTCGATCTGTATATTTAATTCTCAGGTCATCAAGCAACAAATATGTCAAGCAGCAGGAGTATTTTCCTATTTTAATATTGTTTTGATTTGTAATTATAATTTCATCATTATATATATATATATATATTTAATGAACAACAGACACTTCAAGGTCTGTTGTTCATTAAATATTAGCTCTGTTCTTCACATTGAGCTCTCAGGATTTCATCCTCCTTGGATTTACCAATTCGGTTTACCAAATTCTTCAAACTATATATATATATATATAAATATAAAAGTGAACATAGAAATCAACACTTAGAGGCGACAGTCTGTTTCATGCTATATGCAATCATCAGGGCACTATTGCATATAGCATGAAACAAACTGTCGCCTCTAAGTGTTGACTTCTATGTTCACTTTTATATTTACACACGCTCTATCTCTGATATTGAGCACTTTATCCCATAAATATAGCACACCTTAAGACTATATTTCTTCATATATATATATATATATATATATATATGCACACACCCAGGATGTACCAAAAATACTTTTACAAACTTAGGGGGAAGGTTCCTCACACCAAGCACAAAAGTCCATACAAATATACATCCGCAAATCCTTTGTTTTTGAGTTATTAAGTTTAAAGAAACTTTACAGTAGATAGCGCTGTGTTGTACATTTGTGGCTAGTCTGTCTTCAACATTTAACGTAAGTTAACTGAGAAGTGTTCCATTTAACGATACCAGGATATTCATATCATTAGCAGGCAGATGGGTTTTTACATGCAGCTATACGAATGGTAATGGATGCTGGGTTTCACGTCTGTATCAGATTGCGTTTCCAGACTGAAGGCCACCAAGTCATCCAACCTTTCCTGTTATTTATCATCACCTTGCTGAGACAGGATCCATGGCACCACAAACTATGGCTCGAGGAAGGCCGAGATCCACTCATATGCCTGACCATGAAGAATACATTATACAGGCTGTTGGAGACAATCCGGGTATCAGCACATATCAAGTGGCCCCCAGCATGTTGTACATTTCACAGTATCACATGGAGGGTACTTCAAGAGTAGTTCTTGTATCCATATCATTTGCAACATGTGCAGAGTCTTTTGCTCTCTGATCACTCATCACAGAACTTTTGCCACTGTGCCAATGGACAATTTCCTCTCAGAGAGAGGAAAACTGGCAATCCATTCTTTTTTATGGATGAGGCAACATTTGGAAGAGATGAAATAACAGATTTACACAACCAACATTTGTAGGCAGATTAGAATCCCCATGGTACAATACAGGCTAGACACCAGCATTAGTTTACAATTAATGTGTGGGCTGGAACTGCAGGTGACTGTCTGGTCGGTCCATATGTTTTCTCAGTGCATATTACAGGAGCTATCTACAGGGACTTTATTTTGAACACACATCAGAACTTGTTAGAGGATGTACCCCTGCTAATACAAAGATGCATGTGGTTCATGTATGATGGGGCTCCAGCACATTTTAGTCTCATTGTTCGCAATACACTGGATGAAAGATGGGGAGGTAGGGGAGGACCATGTCCTGCATGTTCCCCTGACCTCAATACTTTGGATTTTCATCTGTGGGGCCACCTAACACAATAGGTTTATACAGCAGACACACTTCATCAATATGCCATGAGGGCCTGTGAAACCATTCGACAATGTGTGGGAGTATTTGAAAGGGTCCTCTAGTCAATGATTCGACAGTGGCATGCTTGCATAGAGGCAAGCAGAGGATATTTTGAACAGTTTTTATAAGTTGCTGTTTTGAGGTACAACGATGGCCTTTTGGATATATGTTTATATGGACATTTTGCCTTGTTTTGGTGTC